CTTGACATTCTCTCTGCATCCTTCGCTGGCGCCTCTTGCATGGACCGCTGGCTTAAAGAGGTGCATTATGCAATGTTTGGACATTGACGTTGACATCGGAGTGAAGAGAAGCTCCAAATTAAATGCAATTTGTCCAGACTCAGCGTCAGAAACAAAGCTATGGAAACGTCACACTCTGTGCTACATTTGACTACCAGTTAAGTTTAAAAGGAAAACAATAACCTTAAATTGTTAAGCCACAGATAGTTAAAGCCTTATGCAATAACTGTATGTATCGGAATCAACAGAAATAATAACTTTAAAAAAATCTCAACCCTTTGGCAAACCATTGCTGAATGAAGGCTTTTTATATAAATGTATCACCTATACTCAATGCACTCATCACTTAAGCTCATGATCACCACTCCATGCTTGCTACGATCACCACCGTACACTCCTTGCGACCGCCGCCATATACTTGTTGCGATCAACCTGTACTCATTTTGATGACCACCCTATTCTCGTCACAGTAACATTGACTATGCAGAGGCTATAATGCCCAGATAAGTATTTGACCTGTGTTCATGAGCAGGTCTACATCGCAAAGCAATTGTGTGCATTATATGTCAGGGATTATGCATTTAGAGCATTAATATGAAGAATGCCACGTTCAATAATTATTTAAAAAAAAAACTTGACGCAATGTGTAAGTCTAATTGGTGCCATGGATTGCCAATAGCCATTCGTGACGCATGATTGGACATTTTCACGGAAATATTCAGTTTCACAGAATAACAAATATTATATTAGCACAAGTCAGTGCTGTTCAAGTTCACATGCGAGTGACAACCCGATAGCTGTTAAGAGCAATCGTTTAGATTTCACAACCAAAAGAAAATTAAAATAATGGGCTTTTAGTGTCATAAACTTATTTTGGAATTTTTTTCCTCTTTAAAAAAAAACTCCTGACCAAATCCAACTGTGTAATAGACATGTTGTTAAACATTTTTATTTTAAGCTTCGTATTTATATAATAGGGAAAGCCGCAATATTCAAGGTGTAAACTTTTGGCAGCTGTGTGCAATTATAGCGCTTATAACCAATCCATGTGCACATTTACATGAACACTATGAGGCATGAAATTAAAGTACCAAATATGTGCGTTGCTTTCAATGTCCAGCATGAAGGATTAAAAAAAATAAGCCGCAGTTTTTAGAGTAGTTAAGTCATGCTGGTATTCCCAGCAGCGTTTCTCAAGGTCCCACGAGATTTGTAACAGCACCGTGGAGCCCTAGACAACAAATCTGCTGGGCCATGTAGGCTGTGATTAATCACACCTTCTCGTGGAGAAATTAGACTCAGTGTTGACATGATGTGCTTTCATAATAAAATGATGTGCTTTAACGATCCTTAAAATTGGTATTTATAGGGCGGAGAGCCTTGTATCAAAAATGACCCTTGACGGCTGCTTCGTTGAATGCTCAACGCATCATTTTGTCATTTCTGTGGAAGGTGAATTGCTGCTTTAGTTCCTGAAAAATAAAATCTGAAGTGCCACTAAGCGAATACATGTCTTAATATATATTTTTAAAACGATGTAAAAAATGCAATGGCAATTGTTGTTGATTCAAAGCTAAAGGACAACATAGAGGCTTGGAATTCCAACGCAGAGGTCCTTGTTAATTACATTCATAGAAAGATGAACATTTATCTTACTCTATAAAATACATATTTTAAAGAAATGCTGTCTTGTTCTTACATGCCAAAAGACCCGAATGTCAAATGAGGCTTTTCAAGACATTTTAAACACATTCCTGCGGAGGGGGCTGGTAGGAACGTTGGGTTGCTCGGTCAATGGCCAGGGTCAACGGCGGCACGTGGTGTATTCCGCAAATATGCCCGACTGTGAGGGCAGACACAAGCCGGCGTGAGTAAGTTATACGTTGAGTTTTATAAGGGCACCACGGGGTGACCAGCCCCTCCCCACCCAGCCCCACCCAGACCCACCCCTCCCATTTTTTATATTCGAATGTCCGAATACACGTGGACAGACATCCACAAATAACCTCCTGCCTCCTGTGAGAATTAATCCCGGTTGGGCTTCTAGTCCACTACGTTTCCTACTAGTAATGCCCACTAGGAGCGCATTTTTTTTATATATCCGGGTGTCCGGATACACGTGGACAGACATCCATAGACAGACACAATTAATCCCCTGCATCCTGTGAATTAATCCCGATTGGGCTTCCAGTCCACTACGTTTCCTACCAGTACCAGTAATATCCCATACCTTGTTTGCGAAAATATACTCCGCAGATCAAATCCTTTAAATTCAGTGACCAATGGCTAATTTTGTCAAACAAAAAATACCACATCAGCAAGTTCATCGACTGAATGACAACGAAGAGCGTCAGTGCTACAAATGAAGCATCCCCGCTTCCAATACGACTCAGACACTTGCGCTGCCCAAGATTTATTATACACTTTTACATTACGGCCGAATGATGTAGGGCTGATACATAAATCGGATGCAGAATACACGATCTTCAGCGTGGCACGCTTTACGTAGAAACACCGCACTCATCTGTAGTTCAGTATAATACATTTGCCACTTTTAATGCTTAAAGGACAGCCCAATCATAATCGACTTTTTTCAGTGCTGTGAAAATCTGCGCTACCTTTTAGATAAACGCATTCGCTGGTCAGTTGGGTGATAAATATTTATTGGATCACAAGTACGTATTACATCATAGCACCACAATTGAAAAAACATTACAATCTTTATTATTGCATTCTATGAACTAGTTCAGCTTTCTGAGTGCCTGTCATTTGAAAAATAACTTTTATTTGTGCTAATCCATCCTAAAATCAAGTCATTTTCATAAATGTAAAAAAGTTTAATGAGAAAAGCAGGTGAATGCATGTATTGGCCACATTATTGGAATGTGTCTAAAACTGGAAAGCAATTATGAGTTTATCTCTTGCTTTAAATAGAAGCAGCCATCGAAGTTGACTTTGGACGTGAACTAAGCATTATTGCATTCCCCGGATTGTAAAGTAAGATGCACCTCAAACTTCTGGTTGGCATGAATACAATTATGCAAATCTGGTAACACACACACACACGTGTACCAGATTATAAGATGCATCCTCAACGTTTAATTTGAAATGCTGTTAGAAACAAGTGCATCTTGTAACAGGAGAGTTTGGTATTTGTCTTAAACGGAGACTTTCCAAACGATTGAAATTTGCTAAAATGCTTAAATGTATTGATTGCAAATATTGGATGGTGTTATGCACACTCTAATTGACGTTTGTTTCAAATTAAAGGGCCAGACGTGCACATTTAATACTGATTATGAAAGAACAATGTATGTGATTAAATAGCTTTTCACACACGTTAATTTGTTAAATCATAGACTATTTAATTCAATGCAGTGTTAGATGTTAACAAAGCATAGCTAAGAGCTGGCGTGAGAAGGTGTAAGCCACCGATAACGACCACAACTTAATAGTGAGGCACAAGATGACCTACATTCGTCATTAGCATTTAGTCAAATAATGGCAATACAATCAACGCAACACACAAACAATTCCACTTTTTTTTACATGTTATGACATAATGCTGCATGTTTTGCATTGTTTTCACCGGCAAGGCTTTATCTAAAAAAAAACATAATAAACCCATGCACACCGAAAATATGCATGTTAGCTAGTACAGCTATTTATTTTGCATTGAAGGAAGATGAACAATTAGTTTATATTTTACCATGGGCTGTCAAATTATTTAAACTTCGTAATTCACAACGCTCTGTTAATTCACTACTGGATGAAGGCCTCCCTATGCCATGTTGGTTATGCGGGTTGTTTAACCATACTTCACCATACTGGTCAGTGCAGGTTGATGTAGACGTGGAGAAGGTTCATAGCACGGTGCACTAACCACTGCACCACCTCTCCAACCCATGTAATTTATTCTGCACTAATACTACTAGACCATGTATTAAGGGGCATGCCATGCTTGAACGCTCATCATTGTTTCGATGACAAGATGATGCAGGAAATTCATCTTGGCGCGGAATTGAAGGAGAGATTTACTCCCAGCCCAAATGCGTCTTGCGATTGTGTACATGACTGACACGGAATATTGATGACATCGGCCATTTGTTTACCAACGTGTTATTTTCCGCCTGCAAGATTCTAGGTCACTTGTGTGGCCATTATTGTATTACATGTAAGACAGTATAATGATTATCTCCAGAGGGTCCAGTGAAAGCCAACCACACTCTTAGTGCCTTGCACTTAACAGTATATTTATGCACGTGTCAAGTAAAATAACTTGCTCAGCACCATGATTAGCACGGTTCGCTATGTACAGTGCGAAAGAAGTTCAACGAACATACATGAACCAGCAACCACCCAAGTTCCAATCTGTGTTCTGTGTTACAAACATAAATTGTTCATGAGTCAAAAATAAAAAATAAACACAATTTGATGAAATAATTGGATATTGATGGCAGAGAGCATTATTATTGCACACAATGTTTCTTAGTAAATCAAAAAGACAATCTTCATTATATGGTATTAAAGCTTTCGTGACTGCGTAAAATTACTCATTGGTTTTTTCGGTAAAGTCACGTATGTAGAAATACAATAAAATTATATTAAAACAAAACAATCACGACGTTTCGATCGCAATATAAGCGATCTTCATCAGGTGTCAAGAACAAATCACGGAGGTAAATACAACAAAAAGATGAGAGACGAGAATTTAACAAACCTGAAAAAACATTATGTGAAGCACAACCAATCAGGCCAACAACACAGTTAGACACTTCCTGGCGGACCACGAATTTCAGAAGAGTGTTAAATTTCGCGTTCAACTTCTGGATTGCAACAAAAAAAAACCCAGCATAGACAGAGTGAAAATACGAGGTACACGGTCAGTAGGAAAGACGGACAGAGAGGCAAGGAGAGAGAGATGAACAGCAGTTTAAATAGGAAATAAGGTTGGGGGGGGGAGGGGCCAGAAAGAGAGTGGCAGCTCATCTTGCGGCAGCTCAAAACAGCACATCTTGCATATACACAGAAGCGGGGGGGGGGGGGGGGACAGGTTTGGGGTGCACATTTAGGACAGAAATGCAACGGTAACTTCCCCGTAGAAGTGTGTTGATAAAGTATTAAAGCTTTCGTGACTGCATAAAATGACTGTGTTGTGATCGAAACGTCGTGATTGTTTTGTTTTAATATAATTTTATTGTATTTCTACATACGTGACTTTACCGAAAAAAACAACGAGTAATCTTCATTATGTCTGTCTTTTACAAATCTTAGTAGAATAAGTGTCATTAGGAATATTGTTATACCTGCAAACATTCGACTTATGTATCGTCAATGTTCACTTGGCAAACACACACAACAGTGCCTGGGAATACTGTGACAAAAAATATCTGACTGCCGATGAGGCCCAGAAGGTTGAAACCTGTCCAGAGTTCGCTTGCTTAAACAAATGCTGCTCGATAAATATTAGTGTGGAAAGCCAAAATCCAATGGACTGAACATACGTTTGTTTATATGTGGAAAAGCAGATTGGATTTTTGCTTGCACAATATATGCTTTAACCCATCGATGCTCCACAACAACGCATTATGATTTTGTGTATAGAAAAGGAGGCATCCCACAATTTTTTACGTGCGTCACATCGACAGAGCCAAGAGCTTAAGCACAATTGCCCCATTGAGCTTAAACGGAGCTAACCTGCTGACTTGCGAATGGAGAAACCATCACGTCACTTTGTCCCGCTTCCGAAGACAGAGAGAAACTCTTGGCTGCTCAGCAATAAGCCTCTGGATCAGGTTGAGTCTTTGGGGCAGTTACAACGCTGACGTCCATTCAATCGGCATATTGAAGAATCATTAAAAAAGTTGTATTTTTTGTTTTACTTGCAAAGTCACTCCTTAGTCCACCTTTGGCGTTCCGCTCAGTCGCTCCGCCAAAGCGTGAAGGATATTTCCTGGGATATCTTGGTGCTCTTCAATTAGGCCCTGCATTGCCTGTTTGGTCTGTGGAGAATAAGTCACTTTTTTGTACATTTCGTCAGAATGTGGCTGAATCTTCCAAACGTTGTCACCATATGTTAACATCATACAGTCCGACATCACATATCCGTCCGACTTTTACCTATCCACATCAATATTGTATAAGCATCATCATTAACATTACAGTGAAGGATGTGATGGGCATGTCACCTAGCTGTTTTCATGTGTTTTTGTTTTACCTGGAGTATGTCCTACGTATTACACTCTTATGCAGGATATGCAGCACCAGTTGTGGTCCGAGGCTCCAGGTTACGGAACCAATTAAAGTCTGCCTTGGGTTTTCCAGCCTTAGGTGTCGGTGGACCGTGTTTATATAATTAGAACACCGAGGCCACATGTTAGTGGCCCACTTGTGAGAAATCAATTTTGGGACTGCGACTTTACCTTTTCCCTTTTCGAAATGACCACAAACGAAGGGGAATTAATTTTTGTGGAGTAAATCCATTACTGGCACGCGTCTGCAACGTTGCAAAAACAAGCAAACCGTGGGAACTTAACTCGAGACAAAGCCACCTGGTTCGACCTCAAACATTCATTAGCTTTGACGACCCATGGGGTGATGCCGTCATAAGGGAATAACCACCAACAACCACCGTTGCGTCGGTGTGCTCAGTAGCCAGGCATGGTTATAGTGTCAAATGTTGCTTACTGGGGCAATAGACGACTGGACAAAAAAAAACACAGGTTGTCTGCGGTGTCCCGACGTTACCCGAGTGCTGCGTTTGGTCACCTTGCAGTACGTTTGTGTCACGGGCAATATGATGACAACACAATGACCTCGTGTTAAGTGTCACGGAGAGCCAAGGCCGAGGATTACCCTCGGACGAAATGTGTCGGCTATTTTGTTGCTTAGACCGACAACTCGACGAGTCGAGGATATCGAACTCAGCCTTTGTTTCGGCTGTGGAGACCCATTGACTGATGCAGCTCTGGACGACCAGCCCGAGATTGCCGTGTTGGCAGTGGTGGCAGTTACAGCGACACCCACCCACCCACCCTGTGAACGGTGACACCCACCCTGTGAACACCCACTCACCCTGTGAACGGTGACACCCACCCACCCTGTGAACACTCACCCTGTGAACGGTGACACCCACCCACCCACCCTGTGAACACCCACCCACCCTGTGAACGGTGACACCCACCCACCCACCCTGTGAACACCCACCCACCCTGTGAACGGTGACACCCACCCACCCACCCTGGTGGTTATCTCAACCGTAGCTTTTTGTTTTGTTATTGGACCGCACCTTCTCAGCAAGTTCAGCTGCATCGGTGCCAGGGTCATAGGGGATGGGGTCTCCGAGGTACGTGCGGAACTTCACAGGGAAGCCACCGTAGATTGGCACAACGGGCAGGCGGCATCGCTCGTACAGCCAGCGGAACACACCTGTGAGCAAACAGCGCGACAGTCCCCCAGCCAGTCTTTGGTGCCACCGTGGCCAGATGTTGACTACCTCGCCCGGTATACAAATGGTCGTGGGGGTCGATCCCGACCCTGACGGTGCCCGTATATATTTGGAGTTTGCGTGTTCTTCCCGTGGTCGAGTGGATTTTTCGACGGGTTCTCCGGATTTTTCCTTCCACGTTTAGAATCAACATCACACGTTTTGGAGTATTTGTGCTGCTGTACATTTTCACGAGGACACTGCTCAGAGTGAAACCTCACTTTTCCTGGGGACTACATTCTTTTTTTAAACTTAACAAAACCTTTCGATTTAAAGCTTTCGTGACTGCAGGGATTCATCTTCTTGGTTCTTTCGGTAAAGTCACGTAGAAGGGAAACAATAAAATAATAAAAAGAAACAACACCTTTAAATTTCCAAGGTAAGGCCCACTGAGCGAAATAACTTTTTCAGAAGTCACCTGGCCACAAATGATAGCTCAACGAAGTGGCTTACCATGTGTAAATTTATAGCAGCCAAGGATTCCAAATGCACGTTTCTAAATGCAAAAGGGAAACCGAAGGACCCTAAGAAAAATCCATTTGGTACGTTTGCCCACTGACAAAGAAATGATCAGTCTATAATTTTAATGGTAGGTTTATTTGAACAGTGAGAGACAGAATAACAACAAAAAAAATCCAGAAAAACGCATGTCAAAAATGTTATAAATTGATTTGCATTTTAATGAGGGAAATAAGTATTTGACCCCTCTGCAAAACATGACTTAATACTTGGTGGCAAAACCCTTGTTGGCAATCACAGAGGTCAGACGTTTCTTGTAGTTGGCCACCAGGTTTGCACACATCTCAGGAGGGATTTTGCCCCACTCCTCTTTGCAGATCTTCTCCAAGTCATTAAGGTTTCGAGGCTGACGTTTGGCATCTCGAACCTTCAGCTCCCTCCACAGATTTTCTATGGGATTAAGGTCTGGAGACTGGCTAGGCACTCCAGGACCTTAATGTGCTTCTTCTTGAGCCACTCCTTTGTTGCCTTAGCCGTGTGTTTTGGGTCATTGTCATGCTAGAATACCCATCCACGACCAATTTTCAATGTCCTGGCTGAGGGAAGGAGGTTTTCACCCACGATTTGACGGTACATGGCCCCGTCCATCGTCCCTTTGATGCGGTGAAGTTGTCCTGTCCCCTTAGCAGAAAAAACAACCCCAAAGCATAATGTTTCCACCTCCATGTTTGACGGTGGGGATGGTGTTCTTGGGGTCATAAGCAGCATTCCTCCTCCTCCAAACACGGCGAGTTGAGTTGATGCCAAAGAGCTCCATATTGGTCTCACCTGACCACAACACTTTCACCCAGTTGTCCTCTGAATCATTCAGATGTGCATTGGCAAACTTCAGACGGGCATGTAAATGTGCTTTCTTGAGCAGGGGGACCTTGCGGGCGCTGCAGGATTTCAGTCCTTCACGGCGTAGTGTGTTACCAATTAAATTTTGATTTAAAGCTTTCGTGACTGCAGTGATTCATATTCTTAGCTCTTTCGGTAAAGTCACGTTGAAGGGAAACAATAAAATAATAAAATATATGAAACAATAAAAATTCTCATGACGTTTCGACCATAACACAAACGGTCGCCATCAGGTGTGAAAAAAACAACGGCAAGAAACATTTGAAAGAAGTGTCGGTTTGCATTAATTTATCTATTTTTAAACGGTGTATTTATTTATTTATAAAAAACGTCAGCGCCACGCGCAGCGATTTGGCAGTTTATTTAGAAGGACGAGTCCATCTATGTTCTGAAAAGAGGGGGGAGAGGAAAAACTAATGTGTGCTGTCTGAAAGCCACCGTAAGTGTGAACAATCAATTAAGACCTGAAATGGTTTATCAAATCCTTCCAATGATTGCTAAGCCAGAATCCATCTTCTCGATTGAAATTGTCTCTGTGCTTGTATATGTGGATAGCCTCATGAACGAATCTCTCATGGTAGCCAGATGGCTTACAAAGAACCTCTGTCTTGGAAAAGTCAATGTCACGTGAGCCTACTGAATTATAACAATGATCTGCCATGGCCGAGGTGTTGGTCCTACCGTGTTTAAAGTCTGCTTTGCGGGGATCACAAAAAAGATCTCCAAAATCTTGAATAAACACAAGATCCAGGTCCGTTTCAACACATTACATAAAATCCGTGATCTGGTTCCATCTGTAAAAGATGTGATTCCGGACGTACAGTACCCTGGTGTCTACAAACTAAGTTGCCTCTGTGGTAGTAGTTACATTGGAGAAACCAAACGCCATGTCTCGGACCGCATTCGTGAACACAAAGCAGACGTTAAACACGGTAGGACCAACACCTCGGCCGTGGCAGATCATTGTTATAATTCAGTAGGCTCACATGACATTGACTTTTCCAAGACAGAGGTTATTTGTAAGCCATCTGGCTACCATGAGAGATTCGTTCATGAGGCTATCCACATATAAAAGCACAGAGACAATTTCCACCGAGAAGATGGATTCTGGCTTAGCAATCATTGGAAGGATTTGATAAACCATTTCAGGTCTTAATTGATTGTTCACGCTTACGGTGGCTTTCAGACAGCATACATTAATTTTTCGTCTCCCCCCTCCTCTTTTCAGAACATAGGTGGACTAGTCCTTCTAAATAAACTGCCAAATCGCTGCGCGTGGCGCTGACGTTTAATAAATAAATGGTTTAAAAATAAATAAATTAATGCAAACCGACACACCTGATTACGACCGTTTGTGTTATGGTCGAAACGTCGTGAGAATTTTATTGTTTAATATATATTTTATTATTTTATTGTTTCCCTTCAACGTGACTTTACCGAAAGAGCTAGGAATATGTGTTACCAATTGTTTTCTTGGTGACTATGGTCCCTGCTACCTTGAGATTATTGACAAGATCCTTCCGTGTAGTTCTGGGCTGATTTCTCACCGTTCTCATGATCATTGCAACTCCACGAGGTGAGATCTTGCATGGAGCCCCAGGCCGAGGGAGATTGACAGTTCATTTGTGTTTCTTCCATTTGCAAATAATCGCACCAACTGTTGTCACCTTCTCACCAAGCTGCTTGGCAATGGTCTTGTAGCCCATTCCAGCCTTGTGTAGGTCTACAATCTTGTCCCTGACATCCTTGGAGAGCTCATTGGTCAAGGCCATGGTGGAGAGTTTGGAATCTGATTGATTGATTGCTTCTGTGTACAGGTGCCTTTTATACAGGTAACAAGCTGAGATTAGGAGCACTCCCTTTAAGAGTGTGCTCCTAATCTCAGCTCGTTATCTGTATAAAAGACACCTGGGAGCCAGAAATCTTTCTGATTGAGAGGGGGTCAAATACTTATTTCCGTCATTAAAATGCAAATCAATTTCTAACATTTTTGACATGCGTTTTTCTGGATTTTTGTTGTTGTTATTCTGTCTCTCACTGTTCAAACAAACCTACCATTAAAATTACAGACTGATCATTTCTTTGTCAGTGGTCAAATGTACAAAATCAGCAGGGGATCAAATACTTTTTTCCCTCACTGTAAGGTTCGGGATCGAACCCATGATCCTTATGCATACCGGACGAGAGAGTTAACATCTCGCCACCACAGCACCCAACTGAGCTCCATTTGAAAGGGAAATTAGTTGCATTAGCAAATCAGTTACCCCAATACAATATGGGCGGTATCATGTAATTGAAATTGTTATTCCATGTAAGTAAGTGGGTTTGGTCATGGCACGCCGCAGGAAGTTATTGATGGCTGATGGTCAAGAATAACGATGGAGTGGCAGCCAATCGGAGGAGCATGTCCGGAGGGACAACAACTGAGTAGATGGAGTGCTGAAATCAGCTCGTGTGCAGGTGAGGGGTTAGATTTTCACATGACAGCATGTCAGCCGATTGCTATCCGCTGTTAGACGAAGACCTCTCCACATCACTATCATTGCTCGTGGTTTTTTCAATGCCACAATTCATCGCACACGTGCACACGAAGTGACCTCTCTCTTCGCCTCTGTATTGGTCATTCACCTGGGCATGTTTTCTCGTTCGGGTTGCCATTCCATCACCAGTTTTGTCTCTTGGTCATCATCCCTTCAAGTGCCCTGCGACTCCAGCCCAAGGTCACTATGTTTGATCAGCAGTGAATGTCTCAGGTTTTGTTATTTTGCTATGTCATAATAGAGAGTGATATATTTGAATAGTAAAATGTTACTTTCGGTATTGTTTGGGCGTTTTAATCTTCGTATATATTCACCGGGTGGCCCAAAGGTGAGGAACACATGGGGTTGTGATATTCATTTGAACAAATCACTTCGGGTTATTTCATTTATTTTAACAAATGTTCAAACTGACTCCCATTAACATTACTGCACGTATGAATTCTCTTTTAAAATTAGTTGCGTTTTTTATTTTAAGATGTGCAATCTTTAAACATTCATCATTTATGTTTTGTCTCAATTCATAAACAGGGTTCTTTGCCCGAGTTTTGTAAACGACAGATGTGAGGTGACCCCAAGGGAAGAAGACGAAAAAAATATATTAATAATGATAATAAGTAAATAATATAACGTAAACGATAAACAATTACAATGTTCTAATGCCAGTGTTAAAATATACTAAATAACCCTATGTGTCCTGACTTTTGGGCCACCTGGTATATTCATGTGCTGTACACATACAAATTAAATCCATTGTTGCATTCGCCTGTTACTGAGAGTGAGTGGATACTTACACAGGCTTCCAAGTGTTCTGAATCCTTCTCGGAGGTTTTGTGTGAACACAGGAATGATGGGCTGTAAAAGAATCATGAAAATACACGCACCTAGAGAGCAATGTATTGGAATAGGGGGCACAGTGGTGCACGACTTAGTTCGACGTATTGTGAATCCGGCAACCTTTGATTCTCAGCCACAGCTAACGTCCAGTAAAAAGGTACGCCTGAGCTGGTCCTGAGTCCTCTTTCACCAACCCACATTGACCAGCATGATGAAGTAGCTGGGACAGCATGGGAAGTCCCATCCATAACCAAGCAACGGATTTGATAAAAGACTCAACATTATTGGAATTTCTACATTACAATCGAGATGTTTTAGCTTGTCCAGGACGATGCCACCGTGCAATGGTTCACACTCTGTGCCTTGTAATCCAGAGGTCGCCGAATCTGAGTCGATCTCCTGGCGTGGAAGTTGAAAAAATGGGCAAGTTTCCTAAAACCCGCCACTGTCCACCCATCGTGCGAACGGGTACAACGACAATTAGTCGATCGCCAGTTCGGTTGTCGAAGTTGGGATTGTGGTCTGGGATGTAACCTATTGCACTCATTTCTATGTTGTGATAGCAGTTTATGTTGTTTGTGCATTTTGTTTCGGTGCCCACTTATATATGGTTATTTATTTATTTTTGTCGGAGGGTTTTCACTTGCTTGGTAGTAGCTGTAGGTGGGGTACATATTGTCCTGATATATAATGAATGCACAGCGTTATGGGGATGCAATAAGAATGAATGATGCTGTATAAGAAAAAAACCGAAGGTATTATGTGTGGATACTTCCACCTCTTCCAAGGCATCTGTCCAGCGTGGACGAGTGGGCCAAATATCCTCCAGAACGGCTCCTCGAGACGTCCCGCTACTTGAGGCCCTTCTACCCGCGGTGGTCTGAGCAAGCAACTGCAAGATTGCAACTTCTCCTTAACGACTACGATGATGATAGAGATGTCTTCACCTCCCTCACATATGGACAGCGAAGACGAACAAGAAGAAGGTTTAATATTCTTGGCTCTTTCGGTAAAGTCACGTTGAAGTAAAAGGACCGCATGAGTAAAGACGTGTGCAAGATGAAGAAGAAGAAGAACAATACATCGACGAGAAAGTGCGTGCTCATGTAAAATGTAATTTATATATACATTTTATATTATTTTATTGTTTCCCTTCAACGTGACTTTAACCGAAAGAAGCAACACAAGCGGCCGAAACGTCGTGAGAATATTATTGTGTTATTTTATTTTATCAATTTATTATTTTATTCTCATTCTACGTGACTTTACCGAAAGAACCAAAGAAGATGAATCATTGCAGTCACGAAAGCTTTAAATCGAAATTTAAGAAGGTTTAAGTTCATCGCTGTTCCTTACCGCCTTGGCATCAATGGCAACTTGGGCAAATCCACGGCGGTTACCCCACAGCAATCTGTAGGCGTTGTCGCTGAAGAGCGCCTCCCTCAAACCGCCGGGCGAAATGGCCAAAAGGTGGCCGCGACGCAGGACACGCACGCACTGCTCCTTCGGCCCGTGGATCACCCTGAACACCTCGAGCAATAATCTGAACCCTGCGGCGGAAAGAGCGGCGGTCAAACCCAATGCCCAACGCTCAAAACGCGTCGAATACACTTAGAATTCGTATGAAAAGTGTTTTTTTTTGTGTGTAAGATCACGGTAAATATAAATGTGTCGTTAAACCCGCCACCACCCAACACGCCGGTGTGCTGAACTAGTAACGGATTGGCATGTTTTGTTTACATGGCAAACCTTACTAATTGGCTGTGTCGGGCAGTGGCGGGTTTAATGACACATTTATATCTAGCGGTCTAACTCAAAATCTCTATTATAGATCATATGGGTGGTGAAAGCCTAAGCGTTAAATGAAAATTTTAATTAATTGCAGTGGTTTGTAATGGTCAACGTCCACTTCAAATCTGATTGTTGTTATAAGAATCCGGGTCAGGTGATTTTGACTTCCTGGTACTTAACCTGAAGATGTTTGACGCAGTTTCAAGCAAAACGTTGTGTCCTCTGGCTACACTTCTTCGTGATGATTGTTGTTCGATGTACTGGTGAGATGAAGTAGTAATAGTTTGCGTATTCAAAGCTTGTACACTTGACAACTTAACTCTTCTTTTGGCTATGTCGGGAAGTGGAAAGTTTCACAGCAAATAATGGGTCGGTTGATTGCATGGTCTTAACTCGAAAAACTAATTGTGAATAATAGCACGTAGATAACTATATTACAACCTAGAGATGTAAACAGGGAAACGTTGTTATAATGATCCCACTTTTTGCCTTTTTCCCCATATCTAACGTTATGTTATATTGTATTCCCGCGGGCCTTGCAATTTAGAACACTGATTTACAGGACGCAATAGGAGTCACACTTTCCCAAATGTTATTAGACTGCCAGTACGCTCACTCAGGTTAAGAACCAGGCTATAGTCTATATTATAGACTGCCAGAGCGCTCACTCAGTTTAATAACCATTGCTACAGTCTACATTATAGACTGCCAATACGCTCACCAAGCTTAAAAACCAGGCTACAGTCTACATTTTAGACTGCCAGTACACTCACTCAGCTTAATAACCAGGCTACAGTCTACATTATAGACTGCCAGTACACTCACTCAGCTTAAGAACCGGGCTACAGTCTACATTTTAGACTGCCAGTACACTCACTGAGGTTAAGAACCAGGTTACCGCCTACATTATAGACTGCCAGTACGCTCACCCAGCTTAATAACCTTTGCTACAGTCTACATTATAGCCTGCCAGTACACTCACCAAACTTAATAACCAGGCTACAGTCTACATTAGTGTTTTTAATTATATTTATTTTTATTATTTTTTATTTTCATTTTCTACGTGACTTTACCGAAAGAACTAAAGAATATGCTATATGACCGTAAAACCAATATTTGTTTATCTTTTCAGAGCTGGAATTTTGCGATTTTTTACGTGTTGTTGTTTTTGTGTTGCCATTGATGATAGGTTGAGACCATCAATTCGCTACATTTGAGATCCCAGTTTAATAATGGTCTGGCTGAAACCCAGATTTGGACCCAGGCTCAGTGCTGTAACCACTGAATCACCCACCCACCTGTAACATATGTCTAAAGTCTTTGATGTATTCCAGTCGATATATCTCATTTCAACCTTTTCCCTTATCTAACGATTTTTTTATTGGTCTGATTTAATTATAAATGTCATATTGAGGTTTCACGGCAATGTTACTTTTTAAAATGATTTGATACTGTTATATATTTGAAACATTACTGAATGACAGTTTTTCACGCGCAAAAAAATGTGGCGACAAGCTTCTTATTCTATTAATGGTATTGTAGATGGCACGATGGTGATGATGTCATGCTTTGGCAAATGAAACATCAATGAAGGAGTTGTTGAGCTTTCGGAGACCCGTGATACTTATACCAGGTAGCTTGAAGAGGAAGTGATCTGCCACAGAGTAGCAGATCCTGCCTTTGGTCAGGATGATTGAAGAAAGCAGGTAGTAGTAGTCGATGGGGATGGCTCCATGGTAGTACACAATGAGTGCCGGGCCAGAGTCCGGAACCTTCTCCAGACCGTGCACTTCGTAACCTACACATTGAACACTTCAAGCCGTGAAAAACTAGGCCAACGACATCGCGGTGAATGTTTTCTCTATCGGTCGATCAGACTTTCGTGTACACCCGAGAACACACCAATGAGAATGGATGCCTGGAGGCAAGCGGCCGCGTACTGTCTCTACTAAATGTTACTTTAAATTAAGTCATCTTGAAGCCACGAGCATCACTTGATGTGATTGGTGGCGACAGCGTCGCTTGGACGCCACTTGAGCTCCTCCAATATCCCATCGTGGGGTCACTGTCACGAGCCCTCAGGTTAATGTTGCCAATTATTTACTCCGCAATGCCTCGCTGTGTCCCAAATGCGCCTTCTTTCGCGCACGTTTCTAAAATAACGAACGATTGTCCAACGCCATTCATGAGTATGCAACTTCATGTGGGGGGGAAATTGGAGTGCCCGGATAAAACCCACACACATGAGGGGGTGACCCTCAGACTCAGAATTTGTTTTTATTTAGACTGGAAGAATCCAATGAGCGATGAAGCTCTTTTTCACAGATGCCAAGTACAGGGGCGGGTGACTCAACGGCTGCCATCCCCTGGCCACCTCCCAGTGACCACGTCTACAACACCTGGGCAAGCCCTGGTTGCCACATGTGATCAAGTACTAACTCTACGTGATAGTTAACCAAGATCCGATGGGATCGTGTCCGTTCAGAGTGATTTGGAGATATCTCGTGACAAGACTGGAAAGTAGGGCAGAGGACATGCACCTATAGGACAGCTCGTGAAGGTGGATCGGAATCAACGTGGTGAAATAAATAGGCAGGCAAGAGCAGGTTGGAGTGGGTTTGGAAAGCTGATCTTAAAAAATGAAAAGTAACATTGCATGTCACCTCAGGAAGAAAGTGTGCACTACCTACTGTGTAATGTGGTTCAGAAACATGGTCAGTGACAAATAAAAAAGATGAGATAGAAGACTAAAAAAGTGCACAAAGACACGTGTATAAATGCATGCTTGGAATTACATTCAAAGACAGAAAGCAGAGCACATCGATTAAAGAACATACACAGGTTCAATATGTAATTAAAACTGTTCAGACAACGAATTGGGCTTGGGCAGGACAGTCTACTAGAAGGGATTATGGCCGATGGTCATGAATAAAGACAGAATTGGAACAAGTCCAAGAAGATTTCTATCGAGGAAATAGAGCGATAAAAAAAAATGTGCTCGGTAAAGAGCGACGTGAGACGGCGGTGACTTGGGGAGGCATTCACCCAGAAGTAGATTTTTAATGGCTGATGATGATGGTGGTTGAAGTGTAACGGTTGCATGATTGTCCTTACCGTGCCAGAAGGCCGCATGTTTAACCCAGAGAGAAGCCAGGATCCGGCGAGCCTCGGCCCAAATGCCGGCGGAACGAGAGCTGCGGACGATATTCTTGATCCCGTATAGGTACAGGAAGAGGGTGGAGAGGTAAAGAAAGAGCAGGATGAAGAGTGGCAGGACAAACACGAGCAGGAGGGGAGAAGCCAGCGCCCACAGCAGGAAGGCAGCATCCGAGACGATGGGCATCTCCTCCAATTCCTCCCACCATGGCCACGGCCACTGCAGGAGACCCGGCCACTCGAGGTCGTCCATCGCCGACGTGGTTCACTCCTCGGTACACTTCATCAGAGTGTCATCTGAGAGGTGGACATGCCCATGTTCAACTCAGGCCGACGCTTAGCCCTCTAATAATGCATTATTTGAAGAACAATGCAATGCATTGTAATCCTGTTTACGGTCATCGAGCACGCACTTAGGCCATTGTGACGTTAAGCTGTCCTTCCCCCGGCGCCTCTGGTTGGCTACGTACGGTGCGAAAGAAGTTCAACATACATACACACAACATGCTATGGCACTTGTTGTCAGTGTCATTCTTGTTATTCAAAAGTGCACGGATGTGTACAATTAGTCTGCTCAATAATCATCCAAATGGAGTACCGTGCAGTCCGTCGTGTGTGCCTTATATTGGTAAGGGATGTTATCAGTGGAGCCATATCTAAGCACATAAACCGATGACACTGTTTACTGACAACGCTGTTTTTTGGAACTGCGCAAATACGCGCACATTTCTGACCAAGTATCAATAATTTACAGCGTTTCAAGCTGAGTGTTGCATTAAGACGTTCATGCCCACTAGACTGAGTTGGGGTAAAAAAAAACCAAACACCTTTGTTATAAACCATCATTCCCACTCGTTGAGTAACATTGTTGTCACAACGTAAGTCTCCAGTGGTGACAGGGGTCAGCGCACGCCGCTATGAAAACCAGCGACCTGAGCTCCATTCCCGGTCGTGAGCTAACATCAGTGAGCGGTGCTTATCTGAACATATTTATGGGCTGTCCACCAACAACTGACCAATCCGGTGAAGTATAGTACAACAACCACTGCGACGAACCGCGTGGGGAGGCCCCTAATCCAGCAGTGGATTAAAATGGGCTGTAAAAAGTCAAATACGTTGCATTTTTTCCAACGTTGTCAGGAACGGGCCGAGTTGTAACATATCCCGCATTCATATTCTTGGTTCTTTCGGTCAAGTCACGTAGAAGGGAAACAATGAAATTATAAAAAATATATAAAACACATTTTTTATTGTTTTATATAAAACAAATTCTCTTGTTGTTTCACATTTGTATTATTTTATTGTTTCCCTTCTACGTGACTTTACCGAAAGAACCAAGAATATGAATCCCTGCGGTCACGAAAGCTTTAAATCAAAATATCCCGCATTGCTTACATTACTAAACATTTCCGTCAAGTACAAAGAGTTGCACCAAAACTATAAACACGATATTCGAAAATAATAATCTCAAAGTTAATTTCGTGGAAAACATTACTTGTACGTACCGTACACGTTCGAAACGCATTGCAGAGTCATGCAGTACTCGACTTTGATTTAAAAAAACAAAACACAAAAAACTTGCCAACATGCAACACTGTTTGCGTGACTACTTGCAGTCGAAGATTTGCATTGTGAGCAACGTGGCAAATTTAATTTGCTAATCTGCAGTGTGGCGTGTGGACTTTTACCGTCGCTTCTACCTTTACGAGCTCCCCCTCACCCCTCCTCGCCCCTTCGTGTATCAGATATCTGCAGCCAAATGAACGTCAATGTAAACAGCTGTGATACACCGCGCTATCAATGGCAGGTGTGAAATGCCACTTTCTCCCGTCTGTTGGCATCACGCACCAAAAAAATCAGGACGCAAAGGCATCACGACCGTGTTACCGTTCCTGTGATATGTCGCACATCATTTGATCCACATTACAGACGCATCACGGTCATTTGTCCACCAAACTCGACGTGCAGTTGCGAAGACTCCCCGCCTGAACTGAGCAGCCACCAAAACAAGTTCGTGCTGTCAGTCCAAGGTTCACCGGCTGTCGGTTTTGTGCAACAGAGCGTGATAAGGCGCGCGTGTGCATGTGAGTGTTCTTGTTTGAGGAGTGGTCGTGGAGCGGTTAGGGCCCCGCTGCGCTACGAACCCGGCGACCCGGGTCTGATTCCTCGGTCAGCAGCTAACACCAAGTGGCGATTATCTGAACCGGTCCTGGGCCTCCCCGAGGTCAACTCAGCCTCAAATGAGTGTCTGGTGTGGTGTGTAAACATCGCCACTCGGGAGACAAAGGCGGCCGTGCGTGGTTGTTGGCCACCCACCCCCTTGTGAGCCGTTCCGGCCTTTCGTAGGTGCTCGCCAACAGCACTTGCCCCAACAGTCTGTTACAGGCTATGCGGGGATCGTTGTCTTGTTTGAGTGCAAGGTGTTAGTAACTCTCCATTCACGTTATCATTCTGTGGGTGAGGTGTAAGTCTCCCCACTTGTATTCCACCACGATCACCCAAAAGGCCTTCCCGGCACTCACCCCGGACGATTTAACATGGTTGGCTTGCGGTGCAGTGCGAAAGAAGTTCAACATACGTACAGCACGTTCAAATATGGAGACTAAGCTCGTCTGATACGGTTTATTAAAAACTAGTCTTTTTTAATAACATCGAAACGACCACCAACAACGAAATGTGTCGAGTGTCCGTGGGGAATTCCTCATCCTGAACGGCGAGGTGCATCAGGGCAACAAGAAAAAAAAACACCAAAAAACATGAAGCCACTTTTCACACACACACGCCCGCACTGTGGTACAGCGCCCACCACGCCAGTCCACAGAGATCGTCCAGTCCGCAGAGATCGTCCAGTCCACAGAGATCGTCCAGTCCACAGAGATCGTCCAGTCCACAGAGATCGCCCAGTCCACAGAGATCGTCCAGTCCACAGAGATCGTCCAGTCTACAGAGATCGTCCAGTCCACAGAGATCGTCCAGTCCACAGAGATCGTCCAGTCCACAGAGATCGTCCAGTCCACGAGATCGTCCAGTCCACAGAGATCGTCCAGTCCACAGAAATCGTCCAGTTCACAGAGATCGCCCAGTCCACAGAGATCGTCCAGTCCACAGAGATCGTCCAGTCCACAGAGATCGTCCAGTCCACAGAGATCGTACAGTCCTAAGTCCTTCCTCTGGAGAACACAATCTGCCAAAGAACAGTACAATCAGAGCAGGTCCAAGACGCAGGACCAGGTTACAGATACGTGGGTGCAGGGTTAAATGGACTCCCTTTACAAGCTCAGTCATAAGAATAGGGCTTTCCCCTTTTTCTGGCAACAAAACTAAAACCTTTTTACAAGGAATCTTGTTTGCATTTTGACCACAATATTTGTGGTCAAAACGCAAACAAAAACACACTCTGAAAATATAATGCATTGTCCCTGAAATTGATTGGTCCACACCAGAGACGGCTTTCTTTTGAGCCTCGTCTCAATTGGTGCTAGACCAGATGACGCCAAAAAGGTGTACAGTTCAAAGACAATGCACTATCTAAGTAATGAGGTGCTCGGGGTAAGCATTTTTTTTTGGTTTGCATTTTGACAACAAGTATTGTGGTTAATGCAGACATGATTCCTCGGAAAAAGGTTTCAGTTTTGTTGCCAGAAAACGGGGAAGCACCCTATTCTTACATATTATTCCTGGCAAAGGAGGTCTAATGAAGGTCAGTCACGTCACCTTGCACGGCACGACTGAGAGCCACCTTAGGCACGCGGTAGCTAAGAGCGCCTGGCAACCGGAGTGCCACGGTGGTGTCGACGTTAACTTCCTCGCCTGGTAAGGAGTGATCGTGGCCTCCAACCCCAAGCCAGACGCCTCTATATTTGGTCGCGTGCATTTTTCTCCATTCACGTTTAGAAACGCGCGTTTAGCGTACGTGGCTGCCTATACATTTACACGTGGTCAGCTACTTCGTTAACCTTGTGAAACAAAACTAAACTAGGTTTTGTTTTGTGTTAACAGTTAGTAACCTATTCCCACCTCTGGATTAATATTCCTGGGATTTACTGTTCCCTGTTCCATGGTTGAAGGGGAAGCAAAGTGAGACTGATAGCCCAATAACTCATTACACACGTACTTTGTATGGTGAGCGCTCTACAACTCCGGATCGCTGTCACACACTGGTAAGTCGGGTTCAACTTGAAATCGTGGGGCTCACTGGTCTCTGTCACACCTGTGTCTCTGTCACACCTGTGTCTCTGTCACACCTGTGTCTCTGTCACACCTGTGCCTCTGTCACACCTGTGTCCCTGTCACACCTGTGTCTCTGTCACACCTGTGTCTCTGTCACACCTGTGTCTCTGTCACACCTGTGTCTCTGTTACACCTGTGTCTCTGTCACACCTGTGTCTCTGTCACACCTGTGTCTCTGTTACACCTGTATCTCTACTACACCTGTGTCTCTGTCACACCTGTGTCTCTGTCACACCTGTGTCTCTGTCACACCTGTGTCTCTGTTACACCTGTGTCTCTGCCACACCTGTGTCTCTGTTACACCTGTGTCTCTGTCACACCTGTGCC